AAGCTATAAAAAATCGCTTATTATAATTTAATAGTATACTTTTTATTATTAATAATTATAAAATAATTAAGTAAAAAACTAATAATAACGTTTATTAAGCCTATTAAGTTATTAAGGCTATTAAAAAAAACATTATAACTTAACTAAAAAGGCGTTTTTTAAAGCTATAAAAGAGGCACGTAAATAGCGTTAAACTTTTATACTAGATTCACTAGAAATTTAGGACGAAAAGGGTGTATATTATGCGCGAAGAGGTTAATTGAGTTATTAGGTCAAAAATTAACCCGGCTTACTAAGTGGCCCGCCTTGGTGTTAAGCACCACCTTAGGTGGTGAGGGCTTTGCTAGCTGAACAACCTAATGTGGGGCGTGGCACGAGTAGTCACAGGCAGCCGCGCCTCCGGTGTTACCTCGCAACCCTCCGCTGCTCGGCAACAAATCCGACACGTTCAGGACATTGCCACTAGCCTGACAGGTAACATTGTGAATGCTGAGAAACTGGCATGAAACGATCAAAATTCTTCCGACTCTTTTGAGGGCCTCGAGAATAAAACTCTGCCATCTGCTCATCAAGTCACAGAAGCGTCGATAGAATGTCGGGCTTAGAGGCGCCCTCAAGAACGCAGCCCAGCTTCCAGCCGAGATTGTACGCGTCTTGCATAGATGCGTTCATGCCTTGGCCCATGCCTTGGCCCATTGTAGGCGTGTGAGTGTGGGCGGCGTCTCCAGCAAGAAACACCCTGCATGTATTTGCTTGTTTCTCCTAATGAATGAGCAAAATTTTGCTCTTGAGGACCTATACCTGCCTTTTGCCAAAGTCAAATGCCGAGGCCAGATCTTGTCCAACCCACAGCAATCAGTACAATTATTGATATTATTCGAGTTTCTTGCAGTGAATACTTGAGTAGCCTATAAACAGAAGCCCAATCGCAAACTCTAAAGTTGAGCTGATGAGGCTTGAACACGGGCTGAGCATTTGCAAGTATAGCTTCGGCGGTAAAGCCGGATGGGTGATCCCATGGCTACCATGCGTTGACTCGTCTAGCTAGACAAAGAGCCTGACGAGGCGATTCTCCCTTGGGACAGTCATGACGCTTCCGCACTCGGAATGTATTACACACGTCTGTCTAATGTCCGCTGTCAAGGTTGGAGTGACGGGAAGTCTTCTTATCCTTGTCAAACAGCCTACGGAAATCAGTCAAAGGGATAATACCCGTTACCCCAGAATCTTCTCCGTCCTTTGCCCCCTCTGCGGGGGGAGCCAAGCTTTAAGTACTTCTCAGAATGTGTCCAGACACGAATGGAGTACTCTTCTCTATCGTATCCAATCAAAATGAGACTGACGTCACCACGTCCTTCCCTGCCGCGTGAAGGGACGGTTAGCACCGCAGTCACACCTTCTCGGTTCTGACTGGTTAAGCACCCACTTTTCGGAAAAAGTGTTAGGTACGGAGTGACTGGCCCGTGGTCCGTGGTCCTCATATAAGACCGCATTTGAATGCCAGGTTGCTCTCTGACCCAGAATGGGCGCCGTCGCAGCCGACCATGTTTTCTACGACATTAGTTATTTTCCTGAGAATCAAAAAGCTACAATCACTAAGAATACTACCTTTTTTCGAGCCATCTCCCCCCGGGCGTGCTATACCCGTGAGGGTCAACTTGACTTGAGCACTCGGAATCTCGCACAGACTCATCAAGATGGAAGGTGAGGCGGGCGTAGTGTTTCGCTGGATAGTTATTTTCCCCTTGGACTGGATATACCGTAGCAAGACCTCTATTGCGCCTTGATGAAGCCCAATCTAGGCGAAGCGGATTGGCCATCTTGATTTCTCGCCCTCTGAGATCGCTGCATCTGGGCAGGATTGTCGGGGTTCGGATTCTGAGTTTCGGATATGCAATTTGGTACATGGCACTTACCCAAGAGCAAATCTCGGTTGCACCGCTTCCTGCTGATATTATTTCTTGCGCGAACCCAAAACTGTAAAACCTCTAGTTTCCTGGACCGCAACCCATCAGCCTGACCAGTCGGTACTCTTGCCGCCTCGTCGTCAAGGATGCGAGCCTTGATATCGAATGGCTAGCCCAATAGGCCATAGTCAGTCCGGGCGGGCCAGTCCCGACTATTAGGAGATTGACAGAGTCATCGCGGCCCATTGTTTGTTCTTCAATCGAAAAGGGGGAAGCAGTGCAAATCTAGTGTTATCCCACGCTTCATGGCCGTTTGTCTGTAAGCAGCCTGATCCGTTATATATGTCGAAGCACAGAAGTTGAAAATTGATGACGTCGTCAATCCTAAACTTTTGATCAGGCCCTTCCGTTACTAAAAGGGGACACAGCCTGACCGAGAAGACTTGGCGCCGGGGCAGCCCTCCGACGCGCTAAAAGTTGATATGCTGACATGGCCGCATCATCTTGTCATTATGAGTGCAATACGATATTTGCGTAGCAACCCTAACCCTAAGCCACTTACCCTGTGTTACACGGTCAAAGCTCAACAACCTCACCGCCCAACAAAGGGGCACCGCCGATGCAGGTCCTGGAGGTTATTACTGGATAGAGTCATTCCGCTCCAAGTCCTTACTATCAAGCCCTTGTCACAGTGTGCGCCAGTAGATATTAACCATTCCGATAGCTCATCGGAAGTGGATTCAAGTTTCTTCTTCAAGGCAGAGATCCTCTTCGCTTTGTTGGAGCATTTCCCGGGTCTTCTTAGATGTTGAATGGCACAATAGACTGGCCGATACGACGGATTCTGCTGTTTGACTTGAGGCCGTAACAGGGTCTGAAAGTTTTGCGCCGACTGGAGAGGTCCTTTCGTCGGCTGTATGAGCCTCCGAAATTTCCTCAGTCTGGCTGTTAGATGAGCAGAGGGTGAGCTTTGGGGGTCCCGTTACTCGGACTATTCCGAAGGGTTATAACGAGATGAAGGGGCCTGCATGGGAGAGATGAGACCAACTTGCGTATCCAGTGGTCGAAACTGATGGGAAATGGCGTTTTCCGCATGATTTCTACATTCGAAAACTTGCCGAGCTGACCGCCTTTTAAAGCGCGAAGAGACAATGATTCTTAAACAAAACCTTCATCACAACTAACCGACTCCTGTTTCCAGATTAGGGTAGCCTTTTTTGTGGATTATATCAACAATAGTTTGCCGGCTCGACTTCAGCTCAGCTATACTCAGGGCCGCTCAGGTTCATTCTGCCACCGCTGTAATCCAAGAACTAGGCCGCCTAAGCACAGCAAGAAACCGACCAGCTTATAGGCTATCTTATTAAAGTCCTATTAAAAGGCTATTCTAAGAGGCTATACAATTACTCCAGTTCGATTGTGCCTATTATCCTCCGTCAGAATTATAATGCGTCAAGTAAAAGCAAGGGGCATAGAAGGGGCACTCACCTGGAGGCTTCGATGTGGTGTCGTATACGACCCTCGCAATGCCGTCCACTTCGTTGACAATCCGCCTGCTAATAGCCTTCAAAAGACTCCACTTGAATTCGTATGGCTCAGCGCTCATCATATCCAGGCTGGTCACGGCTCGCAGAATGCAGATGTAGCCGTAAACCCTGGCATCTCCCTGTACACCGACGGCTAGGCCACAAATGCAAGTTAGAAATCGCCTCAAGTACGTCAGTGCAAGAGCAGAGGGAGTTTACCTCTGTTCGTATCAAGTGCGGCATAGGCTTGGGTGACCTAAACTTTCTCGTTAGGAAGCCTCTTTCAGACGGCTGGGTTTGGTCGCGTCGAACCTCATTATAGATCCCGGCCTCTCGGATCATGGAGATGAAGATGTGATCCGCCTTGCGCACAATGTCGACTCGCTCACGGGTGACCTCGCCGATGATCCTGATCCCCAGACCGGGTCCCGGGAAGGGGTGTCTGCTAATGAGCTCCTCATGGATCTGCAATTGCCGACCGAACGCCCGCACTTCGTCCTTGAACCTATTGGACCCATGTTAGCACGACAAGTAATCACCCTCACTGTTAAAGTCCGTATACAGGACCGAGGGTAGCGTACAGCTCTCGAAGCGGCTCAAGCAGCTTCAGCTGCGCCTCCTGTTGTTTTATGTTAGCCTCTTTCATCACCAAATATCTCATAGTTCAACTTACGCCGTTCTGCATACGAGCAGGGAGCCCTCCCGCATTGTGATGAGCTAAACGAACCTTGTTAGTAGAGGCATTCCGCTTGAAGGCGGATGGGAATTGGGAGGTAAGTCCAATGTGGCGAGGGAGTTTAGAGTCTGACCCTTGATTAAGGTACAGCTCCAACCTTGGCAGACGGCTTGGAAGCCTCGCCGTTACACCCAAAAGGGGGAAACAAGGAATGATCAACAGCTGAAAGACGTACACTTAATTGTAGAACTGGCGGCTCCCTTGAAACTTAAGCTCTCCACAATATCCGCTGGACGAGGTTAGTAATCCCGATCTCTGGTGAGCAGGGTGGAGTACTGACCATATAGTGTCCCCTGAAGGAACCACTCAACCTTTCCGGCACGAGGCGTGTTCTCTGCCTCTTTCTCAATACTGGATACAGGGTTAGGTCAAGTTCTGCGCGGTTTAACAAGTCATGGGGCGCGCGCGAGCTTACCGGAGTGCCTCAATCTCGAAGAGGTCAATGACTTTCTGAGTCAATACGATAGGCTTGCCAGCTTTTAAGGGGTTGACTCACAAGTCCCGCCGATAATCTTCCTCTTGGCTTCAGGCTCCGTGACCCCTGCAAGGCGGTCAAGGAAAAGCTGGGATCCATCCACCACCGTGAGATTGATTCCTAGGTGCTTGTCTAAAGTCTCTTTGACTTGCTCGCATTCGTTCAGACGCATCAGACCTAATGGACATTTAGAACATTACTAGTATTTTGGTGGGCATGTCCTACAGCGACGTCATCTTACCCGTGTCAACAAGAATGGCGTGAAATCGGTCTCCAATAGCTTCCTTCATCAGCTTGGCAGCCACGCTGCTGTCCACCCCCCCCGAAACCGCCCCAATCTGTGGATTTATTAGCAGGTCCAATTTTGTCGCTGGGGCAAACAGAAACACATACAACCTGGGCGTTATCGCCAACCAACTTTCGAATCCGAATAATCTCCTTTTCCGAGAAGTTATCCATTTTCCACTCTGCTCGAGCGCCGCAGATCTTAAGAGCGAAGTTGGCAAGAATATCAGTCCCCCGCTCTGTGTGCGAGATCTCGGGGTGGAACTGGATGCCTATTATCCATACTTGTCAGCAAGCTCTAGAATCAGCCTGGCCTAGCGAGGACACACATACCAAAAATCGGCATAGACCTATGGGCAATGCCGGCAAACTCGCTGTCCTTAGTGGTGGCAATGGTCTCAAAGCCGTCGGGTAGATGAACGACCTTGTCGAAATGACTCATCACAACTACAGAAAGAGAATGTCAGATACGCATCAGATGGAGCTGGACGAGGAGGATCTGCATAAAGGAAGTGAACGAACCGTTCAAGGAGTCTCCTAGTCCCTCGAAGAGCCGATCGGCGTGGCTACCAAGCTTTCGGATAGCCATCGAGGTTTCCCCGTACTCACGGTTCTGGCCGGGTGCTACACTGCTTGGATCTACACGCCACGCTGGAACAATACTATCAGCTCATCATCGCATAGAATCAAACGAGGGCGAGAGTACCAATCAGTTGATTGCCGAAGCAGATGCCTCTATGACATGTTAGCGACCTTTCCATCGTGTCCTTGGTGTATAACGTACAGCACGGGGACACCAAGCTCAAACACCATCGGATCCACGCTTGGGGCGTCGGGGGAATACACGCTAGATGGTCCCCCGCTTAAGATGATCCCAATCGGTTTCCAAGCAAGATCTTTGAGCTTTTGAGTACAAGGCAGCATCTCAGAGTACACCCCAAGAGACCTAAGCCGTCTCAAGATGAGCTTTGGAATTATTAGTGCTTGATTACCAGAGTAGAAGTAATAGTATTCAAATGAAACGAACATGACTGGTCTGAGATCCTAAATCCAAGACGAGGACGGTCTTGATAAAGCAATAATAGTCAGCTCAGAGGGTATTAGATAGTGAACACGGACTTCTTCGAGCTTACGTCGAAGGTAGTATGCGGCGGCGCCGCTTCACCCGTGTCGCTCATTGTGCAAATGATGTTTCCACCTAAAAGGTCCAAGAAGAGAAGAATAAGGCTCTATGCAAATACACGAACCGTAGACGAGCGAGGAACATCGTGGCCAGGGAAAAATTTTGATGCGTAACCTTCGGGGGCTGACTAATCTACCCCCACCACGATTCTCCACTGTACCACAAACTCGGAAGCCCCAAGCACTCACGAGATTGACAAAATAACCAGGACCGAAAGAGGGTATTGGCTTGCGAATTGTAAAGTGAAACCCTTGAAAGTGATGCCAAAATATGGCGTTTTTTAAGACGAATTAGTTGATATTATTGTCTTACAATTCGAACGAGAAATGCGCCTATATTGGCCTTTCTTGCACCAATGATGCTGTATTTAGGTGTGTAAGAGAGGGATTAGTCCTGGGAGTGGGCCCACACCATGTACTTCGTACTAAAGGGCTAATCGCACGCTTATTTAGATAGAAAGATGATCATGTGACATGTCATCTCTGCCTCCAAGTGTGACACGGTTGCATCTGCCACCTCACACTATTTCCAGGCCCAAGTTTCTCGCTCGATGGAGCCTCGAACGATCCTCGAACACGCTTGAACACCAAGTCAGCTTGGTTTGTTCAAGTGCCACGATGCAAGTAGGGTTGAAGAAGAAGGCATTGGAGAGAGCCGCTACTGCGCCACACGACTACCTGCCAGATCTCGACGAAGGAAAATTTTCGCCGCAAAACGGCGGAGACGTCCGTATTTGCACTAGTTGCATTCAGAGATAACGAAAGCGAGCTGCACGAAATGAGGTTCAAATAGTCCGAGGGAGAAGACACCTGGAGCCAAGACGAGGAACGACGTGTCATTGTCTTTAATACGCGGGAAGTCGAGGACTGGCAACCCTCGAATGACTTCTTGGATCCCAGCAGACGCCCTGGTGCAGTCATTCCTCCTAGCGATATGCAAATCGATGCTCCCATGCGAATTGCATGCTATCGCAGGCATCACGGCGAAAAGATGGGCTTCAATAATATTTACCATTGAAGACTTTCAGGGCCGCGTTGTCGCACAAGCCATGTCAAATCCAATCATGATAACTGATGATAACAAGGTCCACCTAATAGTCCAAGTGTCGCATCCGCAAGTGTCGGAAACAGTCACTTCGACTACAACCCCTCTTAGACTTCCTCAGGCCATGAATGGTAATGATGGCGTGCCAAGCATATCGCAGAGCCATGGGACTTCCACTGAGATACCAGAAAGACTTGTATATATGGTGTCGAGATTACAAGCAAATGGGCCAGTACTGTGTTTCATCAGGAGGTAAAAGAGGGGAATAGACTAAAAAGAGATGATGGCTTATATCGATTGGGATACCGCAGAAGATGGACGTGACGAAGAGGAGGTCAAGTGGCGGATTGGTCGTGATGCCAAGGAAGCCAGCAGACGTGGTACAAGGCAGGTGTGGCAGCGGTTATCGGGGTCAACAACAGCGGCAACAGCAGCAGCAGAGACACCAGCGGCCAGAGAGGTAGCGTCAGTTCACGCAGCTGCAAGTCGGATAGAGCCGGGTCTGACGGCGGCAGTCCAAGCACTGGAGGACCACACAGAAGCGGCAGTTGTGTGTGTGGAGAGGGGGGTGAACAAAAGGTAGTCAGCGGGGCGCGCAATATTAAATGCACGCCCGGGCGCCTCTGTATTGGCCGCCGTTGGAAACAATCATCATGGCGAGAGAATGCGTGATGGGGCATGCCATGGTCGGGACTCTGGAGCTGCGCGGGAATCCTTGAAAAGAAACACTTTGGCAGAGCATTCAGTGGCTTTTGGCGTCGTAGCCATCTAGTCACCCCAACGCCAGAACTGTCTTCACCAATGAAGTTGCAGACAACGAGGCTGTCAAACGCCATTTTCTTAGAGCGACACGGGCAAATTCCAAACCCCTTGGCATGCCCCAGCATCACAAGTCCGGATCATCCGGACTAGGGAATATTCAACAAACGAATGTTTAAAACACATACTTATGGGTGCGACACGTGGCAGTCGTGCCGGCCATGCGATATTTGCCCATGGACAGAGCGTCTCACCGCTTCACCGTGTTCAATTCCGTCCGATTGCAAGGGGCCGATTTTGACAAACGAAATCCACAATGAAATATCAGGGCGAAGGCTCGTCTATGTTGTCTTGCTATGCCTGTAAACGGTGCGAGAAAAACCCCGTCGCTCACACCCCAGAGCCTCGAAATACATGCTAATGCTGTCTTATTTTGACACGACAGGAGGAAAGTAAGATGGTTTGTCATGCACGTGTCATTGGCCGCCTCATGCTAGAGTCTAACTAGAAGTATAGCGATCGCGTACTTCCTACCTGCTTACTCTGTGCGAAACATGGAAGGACATGCGAGTATCCAACCAAGCGAATTGGGCGGAAAATAGGTCATTGTGAAACTATACACGGCCGGTGTCAGATACCTAACTGACATTGTTTAGTGGATCGACTGAAGAAAGAACGTGAGCGACACAAGATTTCTGCTTCAAATACTCCATCCCTTGATGCTCTGTCACCCACCGTAGATGCAACTGGATCGAATGTTACAAGCGTCTCTCGGGGAGTCAGCCCCAGATCGGATTATCCTGACCTCGCCGGCACATTGACCAGTCGAGGAGCTCACGAGACGAGCTGGCCTAGTGAGCATGATGAAGCAACATGCCCGTGCTTGAACCGTTGCTCGGATGGCTTTGAAGGTAGTCATGAAGGCGTGTCTAGTGCCCCGACGTTTTCCCAAATCATGGACCTCTCGAAGGGGAAGCAGACTAGGTCACAGACCCCTCCTTCACAGCATGGCAGTCCCGATTCAGCAACACAGGGTCCCGAAATAACAAATGACGGGGTGTGCAGGGGCTTGCAGATATCCAGAGAGCTCTACACGAGTTTGTGAGTCATGTAATCTTGCTTGGGATTCATGAAATGAAAGAGTTTTGTTCAAAAAACCCTCATTATCGCCAATCCCGCCAACCCACCACCCCCAAAATGTGGTTACTGACAAGAAGAGCAGGATGAAATCATATTTCGATAACATGACATCTTTCACACTCTTTAAACCGAATGGCATCGAGGCAAAGTTCCTTTATATGCGGTCCCAGATAGAAGCTGAGGCGTTGGTGGCGGCAATGTTTACATTCTCGGCAAGATTCCACTCTGCTTGCAAAGACCCAAACAGGGTCCCAACGTGTCCACCACCTTCCTACTTTGCAGATATCGCCTCGAAACAACTAAGAAGTGCCTTGGACTCGTACGAGGATACGACCCCGCCTTTATATCTTCTACAGGCCTCAGTCCTTGATGCGTTCTATCACATCACGAGGAATGTGCGATCCAAGTCTTGGACCGTTCTAGGAAAGGCTATCAGACTAGCATACGACATGAAACTCCACTTGGTTGACGTGCATTCTGGTCCAGATTCGAATATGGGCAACATCGCCACAGATGTCGCACGCTGGTCAATGCTAGAGGAACGACGCAGGGCCTGGTGGGCGCTATGGGAAATGGACGTATTTGCCAGCGCTATACGACGTCTACCTATGGCCATTGACGGCATGCAAAACTTCACTTTTCTGCCCGTACCGGATCAAAACTGGTTGGAGTGTGACTATCAAGCTAGCTGCTTCTTGTCCCATGATCCCAGTCAGCGATGGAAACTTTTGTCCAAGACGGGTAACACGAGCCCCAAGGCCTGGTTCATCGTCATAAATTCGCTCGTACAGAACGCACGGCTTCTGGTTTATAATCCGTCGCCAACTACCAACGACGCAAACGCGTCCAAAGAGGAGAATCTAACCCTCATTGCCAATGCACTTTATTGTGCAACCACATCAATGCCCACAAAGTTAGTCTACGAGGGGCAATACCTGGACTTTAAAACTAAAGGGTCACCACAAGACATCAATTGCCGCCAGTATCATTCCGACATTTACTCTATTCATATCATGACACAGTTTGTGCACTTCATGATTGACCATCATCTTTTCTGGTCTCAGGACAACAAGTCTCACTCCGACGATGACTCTTCTAAATCGAGCGACTTCTCTTCGTGGTTCAAGTACATGAAAGTTCCTGAAAAAATGGTGGCCATTATACGAAACAGCTCACATGAACATGTCAAATACGTGAATCCTTGTCTAACCAACGCCCTGTGGTTCGCGGCCGCTGCCCAAACTGCGTGCCGGATTATAGGTCCTCCTTCTCGAGACAAGATGCTAGCACCCTCCAACTACGACCTTCTAGAACTGACCATTGAGCGTGGTCTTTCATTTTGGGGCAGCGCCGATGTGCTCAAACCGAGGTTGGCGAGAATAGAGGCGGGTTTCAGAAGTTTGACGGACAGGGGAAGCAGGACCCAGTTTACGGAAAATCTAGCTTCTGAAGACAACAACGCAAGAACTGGCGGTTCAAGTACTGCTGGAGTCAAACAGCCAACGACTCAGTCATGTCTAGACATTCTCTCTGTTGATCACCAGGTTCCTCTGTCTGAGACCAGAGCCGCCACGATGGAAACTGATCTGACGTCATTCAATGGCATGCTTCACGAGAGTGATGACCCAGCGGCGCTGCAGCTTATCTTTGATGGACTGGAGAACTTCTTGCCCTATGGTATGGACGAAACTTTCTGGCCCTCGGAGAGATTTTATTCACGAAAATTCTGACGATTCCATTCTGGGTTGTCGACCTGCTACACGACGTGTCGTGTTTCTAGTTGTCCCATCCTGCCCAGCGTACGGCTCTTTTGGCCACTGTGCCTCCAGTTCTCTTTGGCTCTGCGTGCCCATCACCTAGAGAAGACCTAGTCGGACAAGCCCAATTCCATTAAACCTCACAACACACCCTCGTCACAACGCCGATCTTTTACTATGCCGCCACGCAGCCAGATTGAGGCTTTCCGAGACGCTATTGAGAGTCGACGAATTGCCGGCGAATCTTCTAGTCAGATCCTTGGTTTTTTAAACGAATCGATGGGTGGCTAGCGGAAGCAGACCTATCGTGTCGTAGTCTTGAGAGGTATCTGAGCAAGGGGAGCTGACAGATTCGATCCGTGGCAGTAATAAGCTTTAGTCCTTTTACGAGGACATTTGCGATCTATACGACGAAGGTGTCCCGATTCGAGATGTGCTGCTCAATATTAATCGTCAGCTTCAATTAAACAACAGCTCAATAATCAGCGAGCGAACCTTGTATGTTCAGCTTGAGCGCTGGGGTCTAAACAGCCGGCATAAAGCTAAAATACTTTAAACGCCCTTTAAGTTGCCAAGGCAAGGGATGACGCCTGAATATCCAGCCCGAAGGGTAATGCTGTGTACTTGCAATTCCACTTCCCGGGGTACCCATACAGCCCGATTTTCACCTTAGCGGTAACTACAGTAAGTTGTTATAACTGCTTTAAATCTACAGTGAAGTGTTTAAGTTGACTGGTACGCATAGTCTAACTATGTACTGTATATTAAACCTCTATATCTTATAGGAAGACGTCGTCTAATGCAGATAGGCTGGCGGATACGGTGGATCAGTTCGCTGTTGGGCCTGACGGCGTTGTTGCACCGAGGCGCATCTTTATTCCTGCCTTGTAGTTAGCCGTAAACGCAGCACTTAAGAATACCTAGACTTAAAATCCTTCCGTGAGCGTGTAGCTATAGAGGCTCTAATAATCGAAAGGCGCCTTAAGGAGTAAGCCCTCGCAGTAAGATAACCCGTAGGACCGTAACATAGCTAATACCGGCGTTATTAATGCACCTCCTAACTAACCACCTCCAGCTACTAAACCCACTTTAGCTACAGGAGAAAGTCCGCTAGACTTAGTGTGAGACCATCACTTGGTGGCGTTATTAGCATCGGCATCAGCCGAGGCCCGAGTGCACATGCAGGGCGCGGCCCGTTACACAGAGACTTGCACTGCGCCCAGCACAACATCGGTTTTGGTTACTTTTGTAGAGCAGTGGGGATACATAGAGGGAGAGTTACTGGTCGATGATCCTGGCAACTCACGATATAGTCATGGTGTTTTGTTCTTACCTTTCCCTGAGCAGCTGGGCCAATGCAGACTGGGTAAACGGTGAGGCTCAGTTACAGGTGAAACCAGAAATCCGGGGCAAGTAGAAGTCATGGCATTGGCAACAAGCCCACAACCGCCGGAGCCTGCGTGGAGAGAGAAGATGCTTCCTGCCATTACTCGTGCCTCGCCCCAGCTGGTGCTAGTGTGCGAATTGCAAATCAGATGCTCCTGGGGAGCGTGGTGCCCCGGAAGCTGGTAGTGGAGTTTGCGGCGCGACTCGGGTCTCGGCTGAGAACTTGAGACGGGCGGGACGGGCCGATGAGCCGTCACGGCTAGTTTCCGAGTTGACCCTATGCGACCTAGCTTTTGTCGAAGATCTGGCCACCAAGCCCAAATCGCGAAACTACCCTGCGTTCCTAGATTAGAGCAGGCAGGCAAAGCATCCAGCCGCGGGCAACACCTTGCAATGGCAATAAACCACCAACTTCCGAATTATCGCTAGGTGCCTTGCAGCATAACATGGGACTACTTATGAGAAGGTGCAACGCACTTCTCAGATATGGTAATTTAAAAGGATAGCCTTTAAGTCGCACTACGGCGTTATAACGACGAAGCCGGATGTTGAGATCAGTAAGTCAAGGTAATACTGTATTTTAGAGAAGGCGCTAAGCCACCGAGAGATCTGTAGAGCTTGAGAAATTCTTATGTTAGGTCTAATCCCCATCTCTTCCTTATGGCTCGCGTGAGCATGCCCCAGAAATGCTGGATGCCTTATCACTTCGTTATGCCTAGTGGCACTGGCCCGTAGCATGTAGAGGCCCGGAATTGGCTCATCAACTCTTGGTGAAGTGCTCGTTTGCGGTCCGTTGACTGAAAAATTTCAATCACCTTGGCGTTGGAGGCTTTCTCGTATACTGCAGTACAATTTCTCCCATTATTCCGCCTCACGGCACCTCGCAGCGCATGGAGTAGTGTGACCATTCTTCGCTGTTCGGACCGATGGTTTTTCTCCTAATTTTGAAACAACGGCACAGTACGCGTGACCTTGACTGATGAAAAGTACCCTTCGCATGATAGCCAATGATGAGCCAAGGAGTTCGACCAAACCACAGCTGCGGGAGGTATATCCCAACTGACTTCGGTTTCTGGGCCGATTTGAGTGCTGCTGCTGTGGACTAGGATCATCTCAGGTGGACATGATCTATCTGTACTTGACTCCGTTAAAGAAAGCGCATTGATCTGCAACAATAGTGAGTCAACTTGATTACTTTCCGCATTATCCATGTCGTAGCAGTCATACACTTCAAAGCGCACTACGCAGAAATCAAACCTTGTTACTTTGATAGCACACGCTCCAGCTTAGTTAGACCGCGCCGCGCTGTACTGTTTAGTACCACCAACTAGAGGCTTTATAGGAAGCCACTCGCGAGGGGTGGAAGATGAAGGGTTGAAATAATCTTTTTCTTTAATGTAAAAGAAAATTAAAAAAAGAGGCGAAATGTAGGGCATCTAGTAGCACTGTATTTTAGCCGCACCTAAGCTAATGCGTAACTGACCACTCAGTATATTATAAACGTAATTACGATAAATGTACTAGTGAAATTAGTAGTTTACAATAATACACGCTGGTAAAAGCTATCTTATTATAGTCTCAGCTATTAATTACGTGAAGGAAAATATAGTTTATGCTGGTAACTCGCACCGTAGACTTAACCATGAATGCATAACTTAATAATATTATATTTTAATGATACATCGCGACCGCGTGCACTCATAGTGTACTACGTGGTATGTTACGGTTCTCTGGCTTGGTACGGCCAACACATGGTGTTACTTGATGCAATACTTGTATGATGCTTGCATGATGCTTGCACTACCATCTGTATTGAAACAAAAAACCAAAAACAACTTATTTTGATTATATTTATCCACAGGTACCCAAGCTAACCTATACTCTCGGATTCCTATCAAGTCAGAGTATGCAACCGTCACAAGGCTTGAATGAAATTCACCAGAATATACTAGAATGGATATTTCACCAGACATCATAATGATATCATCTTAGATAAATCAGCGATATTTCAACCCCCCAAATGCACAAAAAGAGTGAGAAGTCCATATAACCACGACTAGACCCTGCACTACTTGTGGTTGTGACTGTGCTTCGCCTTTTTACTGGGCCGGAACTCATTCTGGTACAACCGGAAGAATTCATCAGGTTCAGTGGGATGGCCCCCTGTAACGTCATGAAACGCAGTAGTCGCAATGTAGTTTGTCTTGCCCTCACGTACCAGGCTGTAGTACTCGAGAAGGTATTGCAATTCAGACTGGTCACTATCCGACTGTGCCTTCAGTACACGTTTCGCCTCGGCCCTGCAACTCGAATCAGTACGGTATCGTGCAACGGAAAGCATGTCAGGCAACCAACTGGGATATGTTTTCGAATTCCATCTCTGTATCAAGTGCCTTGCTCGCGGCGGTAGCAAGCTCATGCCCAGCGCACAATTTCGGTCCTAGCCCTGCTCGTTAGCAATGCCAATTACTAAAATGGCTTCTGATCTTACCGGTGATTATCATCATTTGTCCCCTATGCTTGTCATCAAACCCGTGTTTCCCTTTACCAGTGAGAACATGAGCCGCCACGTGGGCAACATCCTATCTGAAGTTAGCTAGCAAGGCCATAATTTCGCAAAGAAGGACACCCTACCCCAAGAGCAACAGGAGCGAATTTGTGGCTCTTCCCAATTGGCAACGGGAGGATACCCTCTTCCTGTGCCTGCGGAGCATATAGAAGCAGATTCTCGGCATAAAATCCTGCGCTGGGCCAGGTTAGCATCCCGTTCCTCAAGGCTTGTGCGACAGAGGCTATACCGAATAACGCAGGGCGAGCCACCGGTAGGCGTGCTGGCGTCACCCTTGGACTGCAAGACGAGGGCCTCTAGGTCGATAAACTCCCGGAGTCGAGGCTGCTTTTTGGGATCTGCATAGTCGCACCCCGCCGAGCTAATAAGACAGACGTTTGCGACTTGGGCCTTCTTTGCCGCGTCAACCAACTCGACGCATATGTCGTGTTTGTCCTTGTGTGCTGGTGGTACCAGGCAAATTGTGTCTGCGCCGGTATCCTTGAGCGTCTTCACCATGTCCCTGACGCGGCCGAACGTATGGGGCACAATTGTCGCTCCCGAATCTTTCAGCTCCTGTGCCTTCTCTGACTTGGGCTCCAAGGCTAGACCGATGACTGATTCGATTTTGCGCGAGAACTCTCGATGCTGGAGGAGAAGCTCGGCGATGGCGAAGCCTGTGTTGCCATCTACGGCAGTGATGCAAATCTTGCGCGTCATTTCCACTTTTGTTGAAATATCTACTCTTGGAGTAATTGTTGTTCTCTTTTTTGAAAAGTCGGGGTATTTATTGAGCTTTGCGTTTAGATTAGTTTTTTTATGCGCATCCGCTGCACACTGACCTCATCAATTGTCGTGATGTCATGTCTGCGTGTTAATGAGCATCACCACTCGGCAGCGCCTGAATACACAGAATCATGACCCAATAACACGGATCTAATGGTCCGCAGGAGCCAATACATCGAGACATAGGAAGACAACCTCCGAGAAAGAGCTAGGGGACGCTGCTGATAGACGCTCAGGCAGATTCTCCAGCGCTACACATCGTAATCGACCATGTCCGCCACCTTGAAATATGCCGTACCGCGATACGATCTCGCGGGTCCACTTAATAAAGTAATTTCAGTGAGTTGTACTGCCTTTCAGTCTGGCATGTCCCGCTCAACCAAGCAGCATTTGTTGCATAGGACCAACGCTAGCTACGGCCCCTTTCCAGTAACGTAGCATTGGTGTGAATGGGTGGAAGTTAGCCGGCAGAGCAGAAGTGTTGTCAATTGCTTACGCTTTCTACCCACGAGTCTTGGGTTTGGAGACCGGGGATGCGCATGCCAGTATGCTATGAACTGATGTGGTCGAGCTACTGGCGTCTGGTTTTACTTGTAATCCGCCACATGCATGATATAAGACTTTGTTGAAGTTCATCTAGATTCATTCGATTAAACCCATGCTGTACGTCTGCCTTTCAGTTTGCCACCACTCCTTCAAGATAAGAACTATATCACTTTCTGAGCATAATGGTGGCTTAGTTCGACAACAAAGAATGGCGCCATGATCCTCTTCTTTTTCCCGATGGGCAATATTGCTCCATGGTACGCTGACCTTTTGCCAGATTCCCAAAATATCTCACACGACGGTGCCGCGTTGACCAACGCCGGTGGACGAGCCGGGTCGGTCAGTCCTAGCCCAGCCATCTCTCGACGCGACGTCGCTGCGATGAGCGCGGAAAATGAGACCTTCGACAATTGTGTTGCAAAGTAAGAAGAAACTGTAGTTATTGTTAGTCCAGGTTTATATCGTGTTTTCGAGTTGGTGACTGACAATGCGAGAAAGTTGAACGCTGCAATGGTCCTCTTCAAGTTACATCTACCGTAGCCTGGACCGACAATATGGCATCTACCATTCGACCAGTCTTGTGCCGAGAAAATAAAGGATGTGAGCCAAAGGTAGGAGAAGGCCAAGTTCACAGGCCAAAGATGGCCTCTATATGCCCCAACAAGCGGCAAAACCATTCCAAATGTCCACAAAGCCAATGTTATCGTAGCCTGGTACTATGAGCAAACTGTACATCATACAAGGTTATTTATTGAACTCACGATGACTTCCTGGTAAATAATATGCGTGCTGTTTTCACTGGTAGAGAAGCGACTGATGAACCAAGACACTGCTCCCGTGACAATCACGGCAGATAACCAGACCACGAAATGGTTGGCTACGGCCAAACCGCGTAGCGAGCTATGAGACATATTGTCAGTGCGTGGAATCGGTCTGCAGAAATCGACTTTGGAACAGTATCAACGTGAGATGGCTTCATGGGAAAAGAGCTGCGAACAAGATCGTAACTACGAGTCTACTATATATCAGGGACAAAAGGGTACAAAGCCTGATACTAGCGTTAACCGCGCCGTCTGTGGAGGGCTGCATGTTGATGTCGATGATGTAGTTCATACCTTGCGACGTTGCATCCACACCCGTCGATTACGCAACTTTGATTCAAACCGCATGAGGTCACCAGGGTCCATGCACATTGATCATTGGATGAAAATCACTTTTCCGGCGCTATGCATATACTGTACTGCCTGAAAACAAGGCGCAAACACAATCGCAGAGTGTGCTATATGCTCTTTGCGAGAGCTGGCGAGGAGAATAACGGCCGGATCAGAGTGTCCACTTCTTGACCGCTCAATGACTCATAGAAGATGGCAGCAATTGAGAGGAATGCGTTGAAGTACCTAGGTAGGTGCTGATATCACTGTAGCGTCATGCCAAATGGCGTACTATCCGACCATTGACTTGATGATGTGATGGCGGGGGATATAGAGGATAGTGTCTGAGGTACTTGATTGCGGAAAGGAAAAAGAGAAAGAGGAGACGTTTTGACTCATGACGAACAAGCTGCACCGTGACTGAACTTTTGGCTGGTGTTCGACTGGGTTGCAAAGCTTAGAGCTCGGACGATTCAAGCGACGGATTTTTGTTTTTATTTCTCATCTCATTAGAGTTTAGGCAATGGTCAGAAAGCACGTTAGCAATCTGGGATACCGAAAACAGCTACGTACTCCGTACAGGTTGAAAATCAGGACTCCTGGTGCGCACAAAACTATACGTTGACTGAGATCGAGCATGACGAAATATGAAATTATGAATGGCGGATAAAGCTGAGAATGAGTAATGGACGATGAGCATAGAAGTGCATGCCATATGATCTTGCAGATTGCGCCGTGACACCATGCCGCGGTTTGTAGAAATTCGCCACGCCTGGCCGCCAAAGGGAACCGATGTTGCTAATTTTACTTGACGAAAACATCAAAGCAAGTACTTCCAGGTCATAGAACCTAAGCGACCTTGCTACGTCTGAGAAGCAAAGAATAGCAGTCAGTTGCCGCACCTCGTTTCCTTGGTCGCCGTTGATGGCCAGATGCTAATAGTCTGCAAGCAACACATTTGTGCAGGAACAGATCTTGCTGAGAAAGTAAGTTATTGCGGCCCGGAGTCCGCAAATTAATGCAAGCTTCAAGTTCGAGGCTTGTTCTTGGGTGCGCATTATTACGGCCCTGCGAACCTGTTGTAGGAGCACGGCACCAAGCGTTGCATGCATCAGGCGCAAGATAAAGTTAAACTTTGTGTCTGGTCGTACAAATACGAAATACCACGTTGCAAAGACTACGAGACTCTGAAGTTTTAGAGAGCAATTGTAGATTACGCAAAAAAAAGTCATCAATTTCTTGTTTCAGCGATGGAAATATAGCTACAACCTCCGCCGGTCAAAGCCCATTCACCTGGCTTGGAGTAGTAGGCACTGTAAAGGAGTTTAGCAACCTAATCTCACTTAACAGACGGATTTGGAGATATAGTCTGGTCGGGGAACTTTCGGAACAGGTCGGCAATATGATCAATAGGGGCAGTCAGCAAACCCATGACGGTCTCAAATGGTGGATGCTCGCCAGCGCTAGGGTGGCTGCGTGACGGTACGAAAGCCTTTGTACGGCCAAAGCTTTTAGCCATCGACGCCGACTCCTCGCTTGTCTCTTGAAGCTTCCTCTCCAGGGCCGGCAGATCCTGCTCTTCCTCCTCCTTCATGTGTTGAGACAACGGACCCCACAGCTTCGTAAGCTGTTCAATATAGTTGGGGTCTGAGGCCTTCATCCCTTGGAAAACCTTGAGCATCTCCTTGACCTGCAATGGGAACTACTGTCAGCCGAGGCTTGAAAATCGCCAGTATGCAAACGTACAGTATGGTGCTCCTTCCGGTCATGTTCGGCCATTTCCTTCCCTTCTTTGCCGAGGTACTTTTCGAAAGCAGGATACACAACCAGTTCCTCGCCTACAGAGTGGCGAGCGAGCTCCCAGGTGAATTGGTTACCAAAACGCTGTTGATGATCATGGTTGTTGGGGTTGTTGATAACTTCGTTGTAGTACTGTTCGAGCTCGCGGTGATCCTTGGTGATGGCTGCAGAAATGGTCGACATGGCTGCTGCTTGTCGAAAGGCGCGATTGCAAAGTACGGGATAAAAGTTGTTGCAGTTTTTGGGAAGCTTTGCAATAGTACCGCGTACACCGAGCATAGTGCTGAGAGACGCGTGAGACTCGAAGCGCTTTTACGGGAGATTGGACCGAGTGAGAGCCCAAAGTACCGAAAGGGGGTCTTTATGTTTGCCAGATGGTTGAAGAACTGGCGGCATACAGTCTGGTACCTCACCTTGGATGCAACCAATTAACAGCACTTGATTACGAGGAAAACCAAGCCGTGGCGGTGTAGTCTACTTGTCACTGTGACGACACATGGTAGCTGCAACTCGGCGCTTATCGTGCCGTAACTGTGACGTCTCCAAGTCCTGCGTCAATCGACCGCTTTTATCCAATCGTGATGAGAACGCGAGCCATCACGATTCCACTTTGGTCAGCGGGAAACAAATGGCGTCTGTTCCACGGTTCTGATTGTGGGAAAGCGGAAGCTATTGGCTGACGTCGACTTCGTGCTGTGCGTTGAGAGTCAAGATGGTAAAGGGGCAGCCCACCGACCAAGTTTCTTACCAGCCACATCAAAACGTTGTTATTTCTCCGTTGTCGCAGCCAAGGCCGCCACGTGAGCGGCTGTGGGAACCGAGTAGGATTAACTCCGTAGTGGAAGTATAATTAGGGACGTCGGGAAAGCATCCGCAGATCGAGCCGTAACCGTGACGTATCCGTAGCAGTACATTCAGTGGTTTAGTGTGTACCGGTAAGAATGATGCGACACTGGGTTTATGGGCGGTGAGAAAAGAGGCCGAAACATCGTGCTTGCATGGAAGCATGGACGCAATATATTGTGCCCCAACATCACAACAGTTCTTCTTTGGTTCCTTTCTTATATATAGCAGAAGCCCGTATTACTTGAATGTGTGTGGTTATACCAGCTATATGATATTTATAGTCAAACCATTCGTCCACACATAGTTTGGTCACGATACAATCACAAGCATCATGAGTACCAACAGCAACCAGATGAATCCGATTCAGCATCCTTTGCGTGCCACGGCGGAAATGATAGGTAGCGAGACCCAGGGAGAGCGCCGTCCACCTCGCGCAAGCCATATGCAAGGGGCGAACGAGGGTCCGGCAGATGTGATTGCCAAAGTCTCGGGGGCAATGAAGGGTGGCAAACGGGAGGACGATGGTGCCTACTTCACAAACAATGAAGGAATACCTTTTCCAGACCCGTAAGAGAAATATCAGAAACATACGGGGGAAATGCTAACGCTAGTGTAGAGCACACAGCAAAACCGTTGGCGGTCTTCCATTGGCCAGCGATGTCTTTCTCTTCCAGTACGTAGTTGATACGGGGATTCTGACGCATTCTAACTTCTCTCTCTCTCTAGGAAGCAGCAGCATTTCAATAGATCAAAAAACCTTGAGCGTGAGTATACGCCTCCGTAGTTGTCAACAGCAAGCTGAAAAGAAATCGATTCAGGAATGGTGCATCCTTGCGGGTCAGGTGCATTTGGGTATTTTGAATGCACGCAAGACGTCACTGGGCTCACGGTATGCAAAAGCTTACTGACTCGCTTAACGTTGGCTACTACTGTCATGTAACAACTGACAATGTCGACTAGAAAGCCGACTTCTTATCCAAGGTAGGAGAGAAGACTCCCGTCTTTGTGCGCTTCTCGACGGTGACTTTGGGGCGCGAGTTCCCCGATGAGGCCCGTAACCCTCGAGGATTTGCCATCAAGTTTTACACCATGGAAGGCAACTACGATATTGTTGGGCTGAATTTTGTATGTTTCTGGGATACAGTTCCCCCCTTTTCCCTGGTGAGGTTCAAACTAACAGGCACACAGCCTGTATTCTTTTGCAGAGATCCTATCCAGGGGCCCGACGTCATTCGGTCGCAGTCGAGGAACCCGCAAAACTTTCTCCTTGATCACGATGCTTTGTTTGACCTTCTCGCCAACACTCCAGAGGCCAACCATGCTGGGTTAATGTTTTTCAGTGACCATGGCACGCCACAGGGGTGGCGATTCAACCACGGCTACGGCTGCCATACCTTCAAGTGGGTTAATGACAAGGGCGGCTTCGTCTACATCAAGTATCACTTCATCGCCAAGCACGGCCAGAAACAATTTACAGAAGATGAAGCAGTCCGGATTTGTGGCCAAGATCCCGACTATTCGAAACGGGATCTTTGGGCTACTATTGAGCGTGGCGAGGAGGTCGAATGGACCGCATACGTGCAAGTCATGGACCCTAACAAGACGGACCCCGAGTCGCTTGGGTTCGACCCATTTGATGTCACCAAAGTCTGGCCGAGAAAGGAGTTTCCCATGAAGGAGTTCGGTCGCCTCGTACTCAATAAGAACCCTGAGAATTTCCACCGAGATGTAGAGCAGGCGGCATTCTCCCCAGGCAGCATGGTCCCCGGCATTGAAGATTCGCCCGATCCTCTTCTTCAGTTTCGCATGTTCTTCTACCGCGACGCGCAGTACCACCGAATCGGAGTTAATTTACATCAAGTCCCTGTAAACTGTCCCTTTATGGCGAAGTCATACGCGTCTCTCAACTTTGACGGGCAAATGCGAGTCGATGCCAATCACGCCGGAAACAAGCAATATGCCCCAAACAGCTTCGCCCACAAATTCCGTCCAGATGTGGCTGAAGCTCCATACGGGGTCCAAGACGCTATTTCTAGCAGAAAGAGCCATTTCTGGCACGAAGGGAAGAGGAACGACTATGACCAAGCCACCGAGTTATGGAAAAGAGTCATGACAGACCAACAAAGACAGCACACCATCACCAATACTGCAAAATGGCTGAACAGGGTCAACTACTCCGAGATTCAGGTAAAATACCCCAGATCCACAGTAAAAGCTTTGGTACAATACTTACAGGCAACCAGGTCAAGTATCTCGCGCAACTTCATAATATATCCCCCGACTATGCGCAGGGAGTTTATGACAGGCTGATTGATCCAGGGTTTAGTATCTCAGAAGTGCAAGAACGTGCAGAGAGTGCTCACGAGTGGTATAAGGAAGGGAAATTCCGCCCTGCGACACAGGGCAAGCCTTCCGGCGTCCCACCGCCTCGGCATGTCTATAGTTGAGAATGCTTAGTTGTTACAGAAGGCCCGGAGTGTGCGAGGAACATCATACACAGAATTTTCAAAGAATAGCCGTATGCTATCTCTGGATGTAATTACTGCAGTCCACAGGTAACTTGTTGTAGTACAAGACTACACAAACCAAAAAAAAGCAATTTGATATACATGATCATAGCAAATTGCCTTGGATGTCGATTGAAAGTTGCTTCAGCATATTATGGGAAGCCATGCTGGCGAAATGGTAGGCCGTATTGTATCACTTTACAACTGCGGGCTTGCCATGAAGAAAAACAAAAAGCCCACCGCCTCTATTAATACGTTTTATTTTTACTTATTTTATTTATATATCAAGGTATTTCTTCTTTACAAAGTTTTTAATCAAAACTAAGCGTTTTCTCTTAAGTGTTTTTTTGAAGAAAGAGCTTAAATATTTCGAGTTCCAATATGCTCAAGACCAAGTTGAACGCGAGCCCCATAACGAGGCATGCTGAAGATTGGCTTGATCCCATCCAGCGCTTACAAGCCATCCAACGCCAAATCTGTCAAGTCTTGCCGCATCGCTATCCTTGGCAAGCTATTGAGTCCCATTATTGTAGTAGGAATGGGCGCTGAATAGCAGTGACATTGATCAAAGTTGCTGAAAGACTACGCCGCCCCTTGCCTCGTGCAAAGGGGACGATCTCCAAAGGGCGAGAGTGCGCATACCGCGCCAGCAGCTACGTCGCTTCATACTCGAGGCGTTGTAGTATATTTTGCAGTGTTTTTTTTGTAAGCCACTCGCAAAATGTTGTGTCAGTAATACCGTTGACGCTATCTTGGGGGTGAGGGGTGCTTCTCCCGACATGACCGATTGGTGGACAGCTTAGTGTCATTTCCCAACGCACAGAGATAAGACGAAATAAGACCAGAAGCCTCTGAGCTGCAGAGTCCATATGGCGACGTCTTCTGAAGCTGTTAATCGTCATACTCATCGAATTTGCGTTGAAAAGATTGAGGTAAGAGTGGCAAGTGTGACAAGTGCATTCGGATACCCTGCATCTGAAAATCTGCGGGGTAGGGACCAGGAACGACGAAATACCATGTCGCCATGGCAGCAAAAATCTGGATTTCGTCGGATGAGAAACAAATGATTCAAAGTTCGAATAGCTGTAGAGAGGCGTTATTCAAGCTGTCAACTGATGATTATGACAGCTTGTCATGGTCGCTGTCCTTTCTGCGGGAACCTTGGGAAATTTCCGCATCGTCAGCAGTACCTTTATGAGCAGACCAGTCAGGAATTTTTCTGTGTCTAGAGTCTCGAAGAGGGTCATTTTGCCGCTCTTATTCATCGTGTAAAACCGCACAGATGCCGCGAAATCATTGGGCGGTTCAACATGTCCATTCAGAACGCGGCATCAATCCATAAGAAGGTAGCATCGTGGGATACGGCTTGCAAGCAGTACAGTGAGGCGTTACGGAGCCTAGTAAGCAAATGGTACAAATGTCAAGGGTGGAAACAGCGGGCTCTTTTCTATGGTGTAACTGACGCGCAAGACATAGCTGAGGACGCCGCAGGCCACGACGTTGAAATATCAGGTAGTATGGTTCATATGGCCTCAAAAGTTTTAAGTCTGATAATGTAGTCGAACAGAATTGGTGAAATCTCATTCATATACGTGGTTTGGTTGATGATGCCAAAAGACATTGCCCGGGCAAGGTCTAACGGCATCGGGGAGGAGCACACATCAAAGTCAACGGTTTGGCGTGTTGGGTTGACTTGGACCGGGCGAGTAAAGTCGGCAAAAGTACCTTGCCTGAACAGAGTCTGCCAGAATGCAATAGTCTTGTTAAATTCCCATCCAATTCTGTCGATGTTAAGCCGTTGTATCGGCTAGGTTTCTGGATACGTCGTTGCAAGCACTGCAACGCTGCGCGACGTGCGAGCAAAAGCCAAATCAATTGCTGAACACCAACGTACCCCCTTTAGAGCAGATATGTTCCCAATCCACTAGCAGCAAGGTCTAAAGCCGTGCACGAATAACCGTCCCAAACGTTACTAGGTAGGCTTAAAAGCCTCCGAAACTGCTTTGAGCTGGGCGGCAATACGAGCCTCGCGAGAAGCAGGCCCGCTCGAATTCGAGCATGGATCTCGTTCGAAAAACAAGGCGAGACGGTCGTTGCCAAAATTTTGTTCGCCGCTGGCAATTCCGTGGTTTGTATACGCGTGATCTGGCTTTGGGGGTGCCGATCTAAGGCGACAAAGTTAGCAGGCACCATCATAGGGTTGGCCAATATTCGTCACGTTACCCGTTATAAACCGCCCCAACAGAAGGCATTCTTTGGATTGGGAGATACGACGGAAAGTCCACTCCAAGGCAACGAGGCGGAGAATCTAGTGGTCTTTGCAAGAAAGACGCTTCTAAATGCGTATACTAAGCGAGTCTGGCGAATAACAAGGAGTGAGACGTCACGAAAATTGCGAGTTGTTTTCCTCGACTAGGACAATCCCAATTATCTGCACACTGGAAGCAAGACGACGTCCATTGAGAGCCACCAATCGCCCGACGACTGCAACGCCTTGCCAACAATCGACAGCCCCATGAGGAGCCATCCTTACAACGACACCAGCTACTGGTATAGACGTGTGCTGACAGGCAGCTGTCCTGGACCTTGAAAAGAGGTACAGAGCTCGTAGGGTGACAATAGGATTTGCCAAGGATGGTCTGTTGTCAAGATGGTGAGAACTGGTAGACAGGTACTTGGGGGATACCAGTGACAGTATACAGCCAGGTCGTGCATGGCTATCCGTTGAGATAGTCTCGAGAAAGTGATGCTGAAGAGTATGGACCCATGACCAGAGACTTGCTGCATATACCCACATGGGACCAGTTGTGAGCACAGCGAGCGCCTCATGCAGTTGCCCAGTAGCGAAACCCCTCCAGAACTTTGTTCCAAACACATCCAGATGCGACAAAAACTGTCAACTGTATGCCTCCTAGCCGCAACGCATGCTCACATTTGTGATAAGGACGCGTGGCTTGGAACTTGGGAAACACAAGGGTTGAAGTAAAGACTTCGAACTAGGTCTGGTGAATTTGTCGAGCCAGGAAGAACAGACCCCGCACAGCATTCACCTTGCAGTCCTTGAAGTTCCATGTTCGCAGCGGTGAAATATGGCTGTTTCGCTGGGCAACGGACAAAATATTTTATACTCGTCATCTTTATTTTGTTTGCCCGTCCGGCGGCGACATGGCGGCCAATATGATGTAAACATGCCCCAGCCGCAAACTTCGGCTTCGCGGAGTGCGACAACCTGCTCCGCGAGCACAGGTCGCAAACGTCGTTCGCCGGGCTGCAACTGATGCGAAGGCGTTCAAAACCAGCCGTGGCGATGACCAGGACAGCACAGAAAGCGAGGCTGGCAGCGTGGCAGCGTGACGCGTCCAAATGTATGTCCGCCTCACTTTTTTGGCCTCACTTTGTCCGCCTCACTCTGTCCGCCTCATTGTCGTCGCATGCAAATTTGGTAGACGCTCTTGCCGCGTCGTCAGAGCACTGGTTCGGCTGCAGTCTGAAATGCGAGCATTTCGACGCATTTGTCTCGTGACTGTTGTCGGGGTCGGGTGAAAGGTCGGACCGGTAATGGCACGGGGAGTTGCCTTGAGCGGTTGACAGACGAAGATGGGCTAACAGTGTTGTTAGTTTAGGTATGCATTTGCTGTATGAATAGATGATAAATACAGCATGGTTGGAGAGTTGGTCAATTGGGACCCAAATGGAGTGCTCACCTATGGTCTAGAGTGAAAGAAAAGTTTTGCGTATCTTGGAGGAGAGAAATGGCATTGATGAATAGAAACATGGTTTTCAAATGCCATCTCGAAGGGGGACTCATCGACTGTTAAATATCGATTCCATCTTGGGGGCCTCAATGTAGGCGACTCCTCGGTTATGGCCCCAGCCTTCAGTGCAGTCTTTAAGGCTGTTGTGGTCCAGCGACTCCAGCCATAAGCCAGCGACCTGTTTTACCTGTTACACACATTGCAGATATGATCGGGTGCTAGGTAGCATCAGCTGTGGGTCAGGCCCGATGACATCACTAAACGGATGTGCAGCAGGTATCTGATTCGCCCCACCCCAGCCCCTTGTGGTTCCATGGCTCCACCTCCTTGCATTCACGGATACAGACTCGTGTCTCTTTGTGCTGCCGCCATCCGCCCATATCGAAGAAGCAGGTCACCGAGAGGAGAGGAAGTCGGACGGGCAAGGTCTGCTTCGTGCTTGGAAGGTGAGCTGTTTCCCATATACGTGTCCACAAGCAACATCGAGGCCAGGCTTCCACAGGGAAACGCTGCACAGTGAAGCGGGCAAGATGCCTCGGTCCATCAACACAACCGTCGAACCGCACTTTACGTCACGCCCGCTACTTGGTAGACATAGCTAGCGGTTTGTAGGCGTATCGTGGGAAACGTGTCGAAGCCCACCGTGGATGATGACGACCCCAAAATGCACTTTTTGTCAGTCATTAGCTTAATTCGGAGGTGAATGTTGGGCAGGGTTCGTACGCTATGCACTCCACGGCTCGGAATGTTTCCGCACAGCTGAATGATGACAATGAACCAGGTCTTGACGTCGAGAGCAACCTCATGGCACTGTTTCCGCTTGAATTGAGAGCTTTTGATGCCAGCCATGGTCCCTTTTACGCGCAAGCTATCCTTTACACGATCTTGCTTGCTTATAAACCAAGCCGTCGTGGGAACATCAGGCAGGATGAAGAAAACGCGCGTTAACCAAGCCACAGTGCTACCGCCGAAGATGAAGAACACAGCCCGTATCAACAAAACAGTCAGATCCATGCAAGACAATATATAGACGGTGAGAACAATACTTTCCAATGCGCAATGCTATCCATGTGGCCGGTTCCGTGGGAAGCCAGATCGCCAGTTATACCCGCGATCGTGCTGCCTATGGGAGATTCGCAAACGCCCAGGAAGAAGCCAAGGGCCAGCAGGTCCGCAGCATTGGTAGTCGTGGCTGTCAGCATCAGCACGGCGCCCCAAAGAGCGCTACAACTAGGTGCTTTTTAGTAGAATCGTCCAAGTGGCAGGAGGTCATGACCCTGACTTACACTGCGATGGCAATCATCTTGTCGACCCTCCAGCGCAACATAACCATACTAGCGGGTATGCCGCGACGATGAAACCAAAGTAGTAGGTGCTGTTTGCCCCCGAAATCTTTGCCTCTGAGGTGTCACGGAGTCCCAGAATGGCTGTCAATCCGATAACTGAGGTGCCCAGGAATTGGAACATGTATGAAATCGCCACAATAGGCAACAATCTATTCAGTCACGTCAGCCGTCAAAATCTGGGTGTGTGCTTAGCGGCAACGACTGCGCTCGGGACATACGTTGAGTAAATCCTATGGAGGATTCTCTTGTTTTCTTCTGGGGCGTGCTCTTCAATAGCTGCAACGTCAGCGTCAGCATGGTTTCGCTTGAGCTCTGTCACGTCGACTTCCTTGCGGCTTTGTAAATGCCCGATCTGGTAATGTGTTACAGCTTGCGGTAAACAAAGTAATGCCATCTTTCTGCCTTTCATATTAAAGAGATATATAGTTGCTGAGAGCGACTATGCTGAATATTAGGGTTGAGACCACGGAAGAGTGTACACGCCCAGCGCCTTTGCGATGTACCGACCAGCCTAACGGAAGGAAGTACTACCGCGCTTCAAGCTTGATCAAAGTCAGCTAGACTCATACCTGTCCCAACCTTGGGACGAAGACGAGTATGAACAAGAATTTACGATGCTTCAGCCTCTGTCACAGCCTCATCCCCGGGATGGCATCATGGTCTAGCGTGTTATATCTGTTTTGGATAGTGATTGTATGCTAGCTCGAGGTAGCTGGCTCCCTGTACTTCCATTGGCACTGCTACCCCAGGCTAACTGACCGAGTGCTCCTGTGACCACGGTCCCGAATTCGAAACGAAGAAGAGCCGGTTCGTCACGCATAATAAAAACGATTACGCTTTCCTTTATATTCGTTAAGCTTACCCAAGGCGTGGACTGCTGGCGTCTAGAAATCAATTCTGATCTGCTCTTGGCTCCACGAGCTAGGTTCCAAGATGTTAAGAAGCACAGAATATCTATCGGAGCGGTAAGAATCCAACCAAGGGCCACGAGAGAATGGGTCCACCCCCATAACCAAGATATTGGAGGCCAGGGGATCCATAGAAGGAGATGGCAGATGACGCCGTTACAAGTGCTGTGACAGCTGCTACTAATGTTACTATATGGAACGAGTTGGTAGCTCATGGCTCACTACATGTTATAAGTATCGCACGGACACTCGAGCACCGTCTAGGGAGCATGACAATGCGGGTATATTGAAGAGATAAAACATATTGTGATTATGTCGAGTGGGATAATTCATGTCAATGCTGCGGAGTCCTAGTTGTCGGATATCACTGCGATAGGTCCTCAGGGGCAGTTAGCCGGCAGTATATAAAGTTACATGTGTACGCATTTGCTTGTTAGATTCTTGTGACAAGGGCTCATGGAGGGCTTGGAGCACTCGCTCTGTTCATCTAATAACAGTCTTCCGTATCGAAGGTCCTTGGTTTTCCTCAAGGCCTCGAGGGACTAAAGTAGACTCTATAGATACAACAAGTCGGTGAAGGCCCTTGCCCTAGGTTCCGTGATCGTAGCCCTCGTGTAACCGTGTGAGAACTCTTGCCTGTGCGCATAAGAATCTGCTAGTAAAAAGCTCGCCCCAGATGGACATCCAAATATCAAGGGGTGCCACGCTACAAGCATAAATAGTATCTACCTATTAGGTTTATATGTCAATCTCTGAGTGGATGTAGGTGGCTCAAAAACGCTCGTCAGCAGGGGAGGAATGTGCGCCTCGGGTTTATATATTTGTTAACAAGTCATCTCCGATGGGTCCATGGAGGCCGAGCCGGCGAGTACTAGTGGCCCAATACGCCTCCACATCATACCTGTGTAGCTTCAAAGTTATTTAAGTAATAAAGGTCCTGTCCAATCATCGGAGATGGAACAAATCTTAAATCCGAAAGCACACTCCCTAGCCGGTTTTGGCCAATGCGAGATTTCGAGAACGGTCCTAATATAGGTACAAATCCATGTGGGCGGAACCCACAACCTTATTTAGATGGAGCGATATCCGACAGCCGATTTCTCCAGTCTTGTTGGGCCCCAGTGCCCCATTAGTTAAGCGATACTTGACAGCGAGTTACATAATCCCAGGTGCCGTCGTGTGGGTAAAGAGAGGCACTGGGGTGTGATGTAGTGATTTATACTAATCAAGTTTTTTTAAACTAATCTGGTGCAAGCATCATGCAAGCACTACGTGGTAACAGATGTGTTGGCCATATCCTGGCCAGAGAACCGCAACTGACCACGTCATAGTAGTTGACTTGTATAAGAAAAACATTGATACATCTTTTGTTATTTATATAAAGCGTAAGGTATCATTTATCTGCTATTATATCTTATTGTCCCTGTATCATGTGCCCCGCAAGGTCCTAGGCACTTAAAGAGGTACATGTAGCGTTCATAACCCCGTCCGAATGATCCCACATTACCCACAATGCCGCATCTCGTTATTCTAGCATTTTGAATGCGCTTATAACCCTCCTGATTGTCATTTGTCATGCTCAAGGTATTCTAGAGGCCGTACTATAGCTCTCACACTTGGGAGGCCATCAGCTGGCGGCTCTTTGGCCTTCGTGGCGGCTGTCATAGCACTTGAAGCACTTGAAGCGGCCTAGTTTCAAACTTCAAAGCACACAATAACACGTGAAAGGCTTTTGAAGTTGCCACCGCCCGAGCCGAATGCCATAGAGACCAGTCACAAGTTGCTTCAGCTAGCTTCGTCCAAGACGTCGGTGCCATGGCAGTCTTTGTTGCTGCTCACATCACCTCATATAAGTCACTGTTCGTTATATTGTACTAAGACACCGGTGACCCCATTGATATGCTCTTTTCCCTTCTTCTGTTGAATTGTAGCCATTGAAATTCTTGTCTTTTGTCTTTTTGGAATAGGTTTCTTAGCCTGTCCGGCCACGCCGGATTAGGGTCTATTGTTAAATATGCTTTGTTCCCACAACTTTATCATTCTTGTTCTCGAACGGAACAGAACAATCCCTATTATTCATGTCAGCTCTACAAGGTTCCCCGCCACGTAATAACATCAAGATGACTCGACTTACGGCAGAATATTCTTTTCATAACTGTAATTGGAATCGTTTCTCAAGTCTTCGGAGCCACCATGATTGGGCAAGATGGTGCGGTACCTTGCCACGTCTGCAGTGCGGTTCGTGAAATACTATAGTCCCAAGATTGACCTTTTTTGCACCACTGCTCATGTGTCCCCTGCCGTACTCAAATCTCCGCACTGAGCCACCATGGCGGTGTACCGGGTAACTAATGTTGACCATGGCTGTCTCAAACTCAGACCATGACAGGCCTGAATTATTTTCCGAGGAAGGGGCTAATCATGTTTCCCAGAACCAAATGTCGCTCGCGGGGTTGATGACGGGGAGTGATCGTTCTCGTATGATTCGCTCAGGGGGTAGGACTGGAGCTTCGTCCCGGATGCCAGGGCGATTCTTCGATCGTCGAAACTTGGTCATAGTGATTCCAGGTCCACAATTGCGCTGAGCCACGTAATCGGCTTGTAAGTGATTCGGTCGATGGAGGTCGCTTGCTGAATCTCGTTATCAAGATTGACAGCTATGGAGCACGTTGAACAGTGGAATCGGTCGTCGGATCAGATGTATCTTCATCGAGGGAATTAGAGCCTTCATTATAATTGGAAATCAGAGGAATGGAAAGGGACATTCTTTTTACTAGTAGCACCGATTCGAAGGCTTTAGCTATTTAGCTTCTGATTCAAACCTTGCAGCCTGGTTTGAGGTTTCTAGATGACAGGGCCCGGCTAGATGACCAATTTTGGTAACTCGAATACCTACCTAGCTTACGTCGAGTACGCGTTGACGCTCGTGAACCGCTTCCTCGGCAGCCACATCACCCCAAGTTGAGGCGGCCATGTGCTGATCAATGGCTTGCCAAAAATCAACATATCGGGACTTGGCATTGATACTTTAATCATGGATATGCCTGCCAGGTTTGTGACACATTCTCTTGCTCAAAGCAGCAAAGGGCTTCGCGACAACTAACTTGAACGGATGATCCTGTCTCTGCCATTCATTTTCTAGGTCGTCGAGTTAGTGGATATGTTCACATATAAAGGATGGGAGACGGGAACAGAATGCTCAGCTGACATTTTCGGACAGCCAACTAGCACTGATACATTATTCAGCGCTTGCATGGCCGAAGATGTGACAGATGAAATACTTAAAAAATAGGCCTTTTCAGTCTTTCCATCAATTATTAACGGTCTGTGGTTGGGCTCGCGGCCAGGAGCGGCTTGTATGGGCAAGAATGGTGCAGCCACCCTCCGCAACCAGAGTCAAAGAAGATGAGGGAAAACACAAAAATGAGATTTCGCGATAAAGCATGTCAGGTACTGGCACGGGCAAATCCCCTAAAAAATTTCTTGCCTTCACTAACTGGGCGCATTTGTTTCAGTCTCAACTAACGGGTGGTTGATGGCCACATGTTACTGTATCCTTGTCCGGTAACGCCACGGGATCTTCCCGCAATAGATCATTGACACCACATGCAGTGGTATGCATGGTCACGATGTAATCGCACCCAAACAAGAAATGAAATGTTTCGACTGTGGCTATGTTAACGGCTGAAGTGGTCGGGGCGACACACAAGAAGTGAATCAATACCTGCTTGCAGCGTCAAACCACGAGGCTGTTCGGCAACATGGATCAATACCTAACCTTGGTTCGGCCCTCCGTTCATCCCCCTACCAGACAGGAGTTACTGTCGTCAATGCATTTGTGAGCAGGATGTGAATGAGTCCATCCACTGGGGTTACTGAAGGATTGAATTCAGGTTTTTCTGCAATATCAATTTTAACCTCGACGCTGTCGATGGCACTGGCGAAATACCGAATGGTCAGTGCTGGCATCAAATGTTTCAAAATCCAGTGAAAGTGAAAGCTATCCCATTCCCCGTAGGCCACTATCTAACATTTGACTTGATATCAGTCTAGATACTATGGCGGACTTGGCAGGAACACGACATATCAACCTGTTGAACAACAAGATATCATCAAGGGCTTTTCGACCATGCTAGTTCCAACGCGGCACTCTGACAATATCTTTGTTTGGCACTCGCTCTTCAAGAGAAATGGAGATCGCGTCTCATATGTAGACAGAGATGACTCACACTGAAGAAATTGATCTGTTTGATTTGGAAACAAGTCGGCATATTCTTGGTTGGTCCTCGAGTGTAAGATACTATACAGGTAAGAGTTGCATGCGACAGTGTAGCTCATTAGCGGGTTTGGACATCTTTAGGATCTGCCGATGCAAATTATGCGATTGAACGTTCCTGGTTGAGATGCCTTCATGAGAATTGCAACTTGAAGGGTAAGGTGGTGACACCAAGGCGATCGAATCTGATCATGCAGCAGCCCTGGGAAAGAAAGATGTGTCGCT